ATTATGAAAAGGAAGAAAAAAGTTCAAGGATACAAGCTTTGATAGGAAGCGAAAAAAGAAAAAGAAAAAACAAACAGAACATAGAAAACAAAAACCCATAATAAAGATGAGAACTGAAGCCCAAGAACAGATGTTAAACATTGATAACAAGAAAGCTCGCCAAATCAAATGACAGACTGTTGAGGAGGAAACCAAAATCACCACTTAACACAAGCTGATTGTCAGAAAAAAAGAAATTGAAACCTCCCTCCACCAAGAGAAGACACAAAAGCGAAAGAAACTCAACCCTCAAAACTGTTGTGAAGCTAAACCAACCAAAAACCTGATGCCCATAATTAAAGCCTACCTAATCAGTGATTGGATCTAGGGTAAGACCAACATCTTCAAAAAAATTTAAAAAACTTTGATTATTTGTGCAAGAAGCTTTTCTGACTACCAAAGTGTGCTCTTGAGAAGGAGAATGAATGAAATCCATTTTTGCAGAAAAGTGATTATCCTTTGCAAAAAGTAAATTAAATTCCACTCGTAGGGAAACCTCTTATAAATCTTCATTATCTTCATTAACAACCGCTTCCTCTTCCACATATTCGGCTGGATCTTCACTGCTAACACTAATATTGAAATCTTCTTCATCATTGGACAGAACGTTATCCTTGATAAGTAAGTGATGATACCATGGCTAAGAGGTGAAATGCCCTTCTGAAATCCTCCTCTTTCCTTTGTTTGCCTCGACGAGTCATTTTTTTTTCCTCGAATAAAAAAATGGCAGGGGAGGAATAATAGTCCTAGGCGGCAGTAAATCCGAGTTAAGACTAAGGCTACTATCAACCTAGTCGTCAATTCTCTTGGCTACCTTAGCACCTTCTAAAGGTTGAAGATCAATTCTCACTTCGTTTCCTTGAGCAGACAAAAGTTTCGGCGAAATGTTATCCAAAATAGGAAGAACATTTGGGCTATCGTTTGCATTTTCAGACCTAACTTCAGATTTAAATTTTCTTGTCAGGTGAAAACCCTTGAGAAGGCTCTTCATGTGACAGCAACAAATGAAGTCATTGAATATCTATCACATTTGAAGATCTTGCAACCAACATCTTACTTGAGATCAAACTCGATTTTTTCTCAACACTCTCAATCTCCTTCACACGAACTATAATGCTGCCAAACTATGTGTTGATTTTAAATGATGCTGGTAAGAATCTACATGAGTTCTCTTCCACCTGAATCTGGCTTATGAGCAATCCAAAAGATTTAAAGTTTTGTAGGAGATCCTTTTTAAACCGCCAAGTTGAACTTCTATTTCTTCAAAGTATTGCTTATTCCAAAATTTAAAGGTAAATCACATATCTTTACCTAACCTCCGTAGCTTTCCACCACTTCCTTCTTGCTATGGTCTTCAAAGCTCCATCTCTCTAGCTTCAAATGGAACTTTCCTACCTATCGCTACGAGCCATTAACCCACTTTGAGTTTAACAATTTATCGTCCTCAAACCTTAAAAGCCCTTTATCTGCCAAAAACGGATTAATCTGACAGTCTTGAGAGAACTTTTCTTTTAGTGCCACAGCTATATCTTTCCAGCTGTCTAAGGCACAAAATTTGGCGATGACCATCATATTGTCCCAATCAATCTCCAAGCCTTTAGAATCCTTCCTAACCTAAAATTGTTTCAGAGGACCTGCAGAAGAGACCCCCTTATTCTCCATCAATAAAGTATCAGCCCTACCTCGAAAGGAATTGTTACCTTTTAGGATTTCAGAGTGAACGAATCAAACAAACCTTCAGCATATCCCAAAAGGCTGACCAACCAGTTTTCCTTGGTCCCGAAGAAATAACAAGCTTTCTTCTTCCCCCGTTGAAGGTCAAACCATGCATTCAATGTTGCTTCTTCGGTTAACCCTGAATTTCCTCAATGTCAATTATTTTATGTGCGAAGAAGTATTCATGCTCTGGTAGTTGTAGTAATTCAACCAACCGATTTTCAAACTAAGATTAATGGCCAAATATCAAGGGCAACACCTCCCTGCAACTCATATCTTCGATATTAAAGCACTCATCTTCAACCTAAATTCAGAAGAGTTTATTCTCAAAACAACAACGGTTGATTTCCATGTAAAAAAACCCAAAAAAAAAACAAAAACTGCA